ATGATACTCTAACCCCCTTACTATGAATTACGAGTTCAGGAGATGTTGTAACTACATATTCATGCGATGATACCCTAACCCTTGGTGGGCACATATTGAGGGAGTAATCCCTGAATCAATACTGTCTAGGCGATGATCCTTAGGGAATGTCCTTAGGAACAAACATATAAGGAGATGCGATGTAAGAAGATGAGAGGTAAAATATGATGTAGGAGACGACCTTTGGGATAAATCCTTAGGGAGGGTACTTAGGAATAAAGAAGATAATGAGGATGGTTAATTGGGTTAATTGTTTGATGATTAAACATAATAATTATATTATTGTGGGTTGAAAACCCTATGTACTCACCAGGTTTCACAACCTGACCCACTCCAGCTTATTTATATCACATGTGTCGATATGAAGTGAAATTACACTGAGATATTAAAGAGATGTAGATCACTAGTGTAAATAAATGTAAGTTGCATTTATGCTTATGTTCCTGTATTGACAATGACATCCTAAACGTTTTAAAATGAATAAAATACGTTTATTCGAAAATGTTTTGATAACGTATTTATCGTATTTTTCTGGGAACAAATTCCGCAACATTCTTATGAAAAGAAGTACTCTGATTTTTATAAAGCATAAACAACATCGGTCTTTTCTGGCCGTGAAAATGGGGATGTCACAAAACTACCATCCACTGATTTCGAAACCAAGCATAACCCAAATCGGCTCAACCAGGGACAACCGTACCTGATCATAGAATGAATAACACACGCATAATGGTCCTCCAGACACGGATCAAACGAATCTCAAGAGGACCTGAATTTCAACTGAAGGCCTCTAAATTCCCAATTATAACCACTTAAAAAGCATAGGCAACCGCCGATCACACCCGATCAGACAATAGAACCACTGAACCTTGACTTCACTGGAGAACTATCCCGCTAGCCTTGAACCAAGATCCTCCAAGCCATACACCTGAACTGATCCCGACAAAGACCCGAAACAACAACGGGACACGCTGAACCCACTCAACAATATACACCATTTGAAGCTTTACGGAAGACTATTGGCATGCTGAATGGCATATAATGACCCTCGATAACCCAGAAAATAGCAGAAAGTCAACCCGAGATATAACTTGCCCAACCCAGCAAAGTTCCAATACAATACCAATCCCGATACAACCCAAAGAATACAGAAGATGACTCACCTTCAAAAGCATCCTAAGAAATCCTTACCTCCTCCTCCTGAGTTACCCTGACCAATCCTGAGGGCACTAGAGATTCACCAGCTTTGGGGCTCCAAATGAGTCCCCAACTGCCCTTCCAAAAACCCGACGAGAAAGGCCCCGAGATGACCGCCAAGAACTCCACAATTCCCTTTGTTGGCTGAACCAAGGACCACCAAGGCCCAACCCAAAACACCGCAAGAGATCTCCGATGAGATGAACTCCCGCGACCACAAGTGATCTCCGATGAGATTAACTCCTCATAGAGTTGTAAACCTTTCTATGACATCTTAAAGAAGAACATAATATTCGAGTAGAACAAATAACATGAAGATGCCTTCCAGGAACTGAAAAAGTATTTAAGTTCAACAACTTTATTATTGAAACTGTCAGAATTTTAGTTCAGTATGTTTTAAGTCAAAAGTAATTAGATATGATTGTGGGACTCTTCAAGACCTTCCCGTTCATATAAAGAACGCTGAAAAGTGAGTTGAAATGAAGAAGTTATGGTTTTTTGAAGATGAAGTAGAAAATGGGGGATTTTGATTATGCACGGCGTAATTTATAGTTACACAGGGCGTAATGAGGATTAATGAATTATATGGGGCGTAGATAAGGAGTACGCAGTGCGTACTCGACCAGTGTGAGAACCCTAAATTCAGGGTTTTAAGCCCTATTTAAACACCTTAACCTCCATAAACCTCTTCCATTCGTAACCTCCATTTATCCAAACAACTCCCTTGAAACCCTAACCCCATATTTGTGCCTTAAAAGCTAAAAAGTGTGTTTTTTTTGCTGATTTTGAAGGAATAAGAAGTTGGTGGTGTTTCTTGGAAAGCTTTAAGCATTTTGGATCTAGGATTGCACTTCTTAAGCATTCTCCAAGAGGTATAAAGTTCATGACTTGATGAATCTCCTGTTAGATCTGGTTAGCTTTAGGTTTATGTCCTTTTTTTGTCCAATATTCTTGGTCCAGATGGGTATGAACTACTTTAGACCTTAGGAGTTGCCTTTTCAGACGTTTTTTAGTGCATGAAGTCATAAAAATTCAATCATGATCCTTTCTTTCTATCCATGCATGAGTTAAGTGATAGGTTTTATACAAAAGAACATCCTATGTGCTCATGAAAAACTCTAAAGCTTGGATCTAGGTTTCTCTACTATACATGCAATTCATCCAAGAGTTGTAACCCTAGATCTAGCATAAACAATTCGAAATTATCATAATAAGAACAGATCTAGATGATTACATCTTTCAAATGGCTTGATTCTTCTTGATTTTTGAGCTTAGAGTCACAAGTGTAACTCCTCTAATGGCTTACAAACACTATAAGCAAGAAGGAAACTTATGAGAGAGGAGAGAGAATGCTAAAATCGTCCCTAGGTATCTCTTGGGATCAAGTGGCCGAAAATTGCATACATGGGTCTCTATTTATACTATAGGTTGCTAGGGTTTCAGCCAAAACCCTAATGGACAACTTAATCACCAAGCAGCCCATGGAACCTTCTATAATAGGGCCTATGGACGAAATTATGATGGATCTCCATCATAATTTCGTTCCCCCTTTGATCCATTAGGTTTCCCAACCCAAAACTCAACTATCACACATTTGGCAGTTTAAGCCCCTTTATTTAATTAATCTCTTTTAGTCACCAAATTAATTCCTAATTAATTTATGACCAATATCAATTAAATAATATAATAAAATAATATGATTTCTCCTTTAATACATTATTCTTATAATATATTAATATATCATAATATCCTCTCTCTCATTAAATTACCTTGTCAAGTTGCTTTGGTGAAGGCAACCCAAAATAACCATGCACAACCAGGTCAAGTACATACCAAATATAATTACAGGCTTAGATACTATTCCAACAGTCTCCCACTTGGATAAGTCTAGTAACTATATCTCACATATGACTTCAGATCCGATTACCAATCATAGCTCTTATACGCCACTATCAACTCTGATCAGTAACTTGTCCTTAAGATAAGGGATCGTATAGTCCTCTGTTCTAGATATCATGCTGACAATCACATGGAACATACTTATTGTCCAACATCTTGTTCCTCCATCTCTGATTTGTTTGAAATAGAACTTAGTTGAACACATCAACTTTGCTCTGACCAGGCCCGACACATAAGTCAAACCAAATCATCGAGTGGCCAATATATCACATGTATCCTCTTAGAATAAAAGGAACAGATTAACTTTGACTCATATGCCTTCACTATTTACTAATTAAATCATGCACAACAATGTGTTTTATAACATCAAGTTACTAATGTGTTTACACATCATCAATGCATAACCAACCAGCAAACAATAACCATATCTCTAAGTTTGAAGACTATAAGATATTATCGCTTTGCTATCACTCGAGATAAAATTCCAGGAAGTGATACCAGCAAACACGGGTTTATTCCAATGCTCAAATCAAAATTCATAAGCACTCATGAAATCTGCAACAAACTATTTCTATGCCTAAAACCTTTTAGACAATCTACAAACAAATTCATGACAATATTCTTTCATATCTACTTCCAACATATGAGCGACTGTGGACTGTTTGAATAATCTCATTATTTAGGATGTCAAAACATGCAAAATTGAAACAATAGATAAATGATCAACACAAGATAGTAACTTTACCCATAAATAATACACCTTCATTTATATCAAATTTCAATTACAAATTATCTATTACACGTTTCCTATCTATCTAATCTAAACTCATATCGTCCTTTAGCCTAATGCTCCTAGTGTGTTGTAAGTGCTTAACCCTGCTCAATCACTTTGTAAGGGGATCTGTTGGGTTATCTTCCGACAATACCCTCTTCACTATGGGGAGTCTCTCTTCTACCCGATGTATAATGAAATGGTATTTTCTGTCAATATGTCTGGATCTACCGTGATCCCTTGGTTCCTTGGTTAAGGCAACCATTCCTTCATTATCACATAAAATCTCCATGGACTCCTTTATGGATGGCACAACTCCAAGGTCTACAATGAAGTTCTTCAACCATATTTCCTCCTTTGACTCATTCACACGTTGAATCATCTCACTACAAGAAAAAGACCCTTTAACGACGTGCAAACCACGACACTCATTTATTTATGTTACGCAAAAGAGAGTGACATTAAAAAAGTGTCATCTCTTCAAAAAATTTAAGAGTTTAGGTCACGCATTATCACGTGCCCTTAAATTAGTGTTATAAGAAAAAAAAAATTAAAAACACGAAGGGCGCTGTATTTTAAATGTGCTTCCTCTATAAGTGTCGGTTTATAATTTTAATGAACACGCGTTTAGTAATAGTGGCGTAAATGAAATCCAAATTTTTTTTGAAAACCCGCCTTGTCTTTTCTACCTTCTTTCTATCTTTCATCTTTAATCGATTTTCCCCTCTCCCTCCTCTCCGATCTGCTTCTCCTCTACTCCTGACCTTACTTGTTAATCTCATTGGATATCTGCTCTAGTGTCGCTCTGAAGATAAAGAAATTTCAAGCCCTAGTCTCCCTCCGAGACAGAGACGAAAAGAGAAGAAACATGAAGAATGCACCACTAAACCCTAAAAACTCAATCTATCTCCCTTCTTTCCCTCACTCCATTTTCTCTGCAAACCATAATCCATTACCACCACCATTGAACCCTAAAATCTCAATCCATACTTCATGCTTCTATGATTCTCTCCTCTTCAACTCTCTAATCTCCAATTTCACTCTAAAAACATCGATTGAACTCATCGCTTCACCTATTGTCTACCAAAAATAAATGTTGATTGCAACCACCTTCAAGCACGATGCCTCTCAGTTACGCATCCATAACAAGAACGTACATACATCACTCTCAAACACCCCACTTAGCTTCTTCATTATTCTCGATGTCGTGTGATTTCTAGGGCTCGAAGCAACCTCCTCTATCTTACATTGAAAATCATTTCCGCCTCCCATCGTTGACCCTTTTGGAGCGATTTCTAGGGTTTGAATCAACATTTAACCTTATCGACAATCGATCTGATGCACTCATCACCTTTTGTTACCTTTCGAGAATTCTCTTGATGTACCAGCCGAAGCAACTTGGGTTAATACATATGAAAGGTTATCACCGCGCTGGAAATCCATTCGTCCTTCCTTCTCAGGTAAATCATTTGTCCTTCCTTCTCAGGTATTGACTGTAGGTTTTGTTTAATTTTCCAATACATGATGAGTAAATTTGGAATGGGTTACTCATCAATTAGATGAGTTGTATTCATTTCTCTCATGCCACGTTTTGCCCCATACCTTTGTCCTTTGATACAACTGATGTTCCTACTCTCCTTTTTCAGTTTTCCATCATTGCTTCTTCACCTTTTTCATTAAATCCCTCTCTCTCTCTCTATCTCACCACTAACTTCCTAAACGCCACCACCATTGACCGACTCGAGATGAGTGCTTTTGTCATTTGTAGTTCTCCTTTTCAGTTTGGTAGGTTTCATTCTACATATAGGCTCGATTTCAGTTATAAAATCGCCCATAGTCTTGCATTTTCTTTTGTTATCCATTTATGGGTTTTTGTTATTAAGTTTGTGTCTGATCGATTCACTTGTAATTTTGAAGTTCGACTTTATAGGGTCAGACTTTTAGTTGTGTGTGGCTGTAAATAAAGGTCCGATGTACTCAAACTCCTTTCAGTTGAAGATGTAGCTGAAAGGGTCTATTAAAAACCTAATTTTTAAAAATGTTTGTTGATTTTTCTCGAATGTTTTAGGAGTCTAGCACCCACTATTGGTATTTTCTCAAAAATATACCCATGTCTTGCTTTCTTTGTCTAAAACGAGCTTTTCAAGAATTCATGGTTGGTTTCTGTTTTTATATGTTATACTTTAAGCATTTTCTTTGTCTAAAATGAGCTTCTCAAGAATTTATGGTTGGTTTCTATTTTTATGTGTTATACTTTAAGCATGTTAAACCAAAACTATATGGAGATGAAAGAATCAGAAGGGAAAGAGAATCCAATGGTTTACTTTTCTCAAATTCTTGTCTTTTTATCCATTGTTTTCACATTTTGATATTCATATAGAACGGTGTTTGGGATGAATATTCTTGTTTCAAAGAATTAGTTAATCATGGTTGTTCTAATTCTGAAGAATTATAGATAAACGGGTATAACACATGATCACATACTCTAAATTCCAAAAGGTGTACGATAATGCATTGAAAAACTTGTTGAAGCCGATATCAAAATATGGATTTTGAGCAGTGACAAAATGTAAAACACAATTGAAAAACTTGTTAAGGTTAATTTTTTTATCAGGAAGGAATTGATGCACTGAAAGAGGTGATTTGCCAAAGGTATCTATCTTTGAGTAAATTACTTTCTGGTCCCTGAGTTTGTTCAATAAATTGTATTTTTAATAGTTTTCTCCTGCAGTTTTAGTAACTGAACAAAGGGACTGATATGAAATTTCATATTCAAACGCCATATAGAGAAAAAGAAGTGTTCAAAAATTAGAACGATGACTCCAATTATTTCATTTAAAAGATTACAAAAAATAAGGGTGGCTTTTGTCTCTTCTCCAGCACATTTTGTACAGACAAAAGGAACAATTCAGTGATGGAGTCGGATATAGGTGGATTGATGGTTTGAAGGATCATGCAAACCAACATGTCATTCAGTCATTTCTTAATTGTTATTCAGCATCACATCTAAGAAAAAAGGGTAAAATACTCATTAATTTACTCTTGTTCAAATGGTTTATGATGTCAAGAAAGAGTCTTTGTTCTATTCATACAATCAGACATTCAAGATTTCATCTGATGAAAAAGAAAACAATGACCGACCCTAAGACAATTATTTTTGCAGGTTACTGATTCAATGCTAACAAATACAACTTTTTTTTATCCCGAAAACACCCCTACGAAAAAAGAAGGGTACTACTATCGGACAATCTTTGAAAAGTTCTTCCCAAAGGTGGGTCCACTTTACTTTTTTGCTTATGTTTTCTTTTAGCATAACCCTAAACCCCGTGTAAAAGACTCTTCTTCCCAAAGGTGGATCCACTTAATTCCTCAACTTTTTTGAACCTAAGATGTATATAAATCTTTCTATCGTTATTAAAAAGTCTCTTAGGATAATCATTAATGACTTGTATATAGATTGTCTTTACCATGAGACAAGGGGTTCTTGTCTTTTATGATTATAAATTTGCTCATTTAAGATGTCGTTTTTGGTGTTTAATGTGCTAATTTATACCTGTATAAACCTCAATTCGGTACAAGGAAACGTGTAATTTGATGCAACTCACCATCAAATTGATGAGAGTAGACCTAACAATTGGTATTATAGCCATGTGATACTTCGATTACTAACCAAACAGAAAAGGCTACTGACACTGAGGAGTTGGAACTGAAATTTTGTTGGTATATGTGAGATAGTATGATGAAGAGGGTAAAATACAATAGGATGTGTTGTCTAGTATTGCTGATATAAAAGCCACCATGCACATATTTTCTATGGAAGCATGATGGCATGTCGTTCAGAACCTACATTTGTGCACAATATGGCATCATGTGGAATAGTGTCACTTTCAAATTTCTTTTTGGTTCTCTCATGCTTTGTCACTTGATGTCTACTAATGGGTGGATAAAATCCATACATAGTGAAGACCCCTATGTGATTTAAACCTGTATCAATAAACCTAATATGCTCGATAGCCCACATATATTTTTCTTCATACTTTTTAAAAATATTTAGTAATCAGCATTTAGCTAATGAGCAATCAAATTTTACTCTTTTTTTGTAGGAAAATAGGCAAACCAAGCACCCACAATTGCTTTATGAAGCCAAACTATACAATTATCTCCAGTGAATAGGTAAGTTAATGTAACATTTGCTTTGCTTAAGCACAACTATATACTTATATACAACATGTTCTCTAATTCTACTTCTTACTTTCATATCCTGTAGTTGGAATTGCTGGCATCCATTGGTCTGGGGTTGATGTTCAAGACAATGTGCTTGTTCTTGACCTTCTTGGGCCTAGTCTTGAGTATCTATTTGTCTATTGTGGAAGAACATTCTCGTTGAAGACAGTTTTAATGTTAGCTGATCAAATGGTAAAATCTTTAAAGATATGCTTTAATTTCCTTTCATCCATAACTTTTGGATAATAAATAGTCTGCACCAGTCAATTTAGTTCTAAATTTTAGTTTGCAATAATATTTCCACAGCTTACAAGAATAGAACTGATGCAAGCTAAAGGATTTCTGCATAGAGACTTGAAACCAGATAATTTTCTCATGGGTCTAAGCAGGAAAGCAAATCAGGTAATTTCCACTGTTATATATATATCCTAAAATACAACCTTATGTGATGTGGCTTTATAGTGAATATTATGATGTATGCTTATAGACTATCTACTAACTTCACAGATTGTTTTTATCAGGTCTATGTTATTGATTTTGGACTTGCTAAAAGATACCGTGATCCCACCACAAGTTGCCATATTCCCTACAAGTATGATTGTCTGTTATTATTGTGTTCATATCCTTCTTTTTGTATGTTGTTGTGGTTTTTCCTATATTTTATTGGTTCTTATATATATTTTCTTACCATACATATCTATACAGAGAAAACAAAAACTTGACAGGGACTGCATGTTATGCTAGTTGTAATACCCATTTGGGAATTGGTATGCAATCATTTCTGCATAAATCTTTTTACAATTTGATATTTTTATTTGCATTTTCTCTTATACAATATTTTCTTTTTTTATAAATTCAGAACAAAGCTGGCGTGATGACTTGGAGTCTTTGGGCTATGTTTTCTTGTACTTTTTGAGAGGAATGTATGTGCTTAAATATTTTAATTGAGTATGTTGTGAAATCTAAAAAAAATGAGCTTCTTGTTTTTATTTATTTTTTTGTAGTCTTCCATGGCAGTGTCTAAAAGGTGCAACAAAGAAGCAAAAATATGACAAAATATGTGAAAAGAAAGTATCGACTCCTATTGAGGTATTTGTGAAACAATATACAAAAAATAACTTTTTTTATAGGGATAGTTGGCTATTGCTAAAATAACTGTCATATTTAAATTGTTTTAGTGGACTATGAAAATCATTTTCAATTTGTTTGACAGGTTTTATGCGAGAAGGTATATCCTTTATTCATATAATACAATATTATAGAAATTCAACCACATTTATGCTGTAAAATTTGTATAACATTGTATCTGATGTTTAAATCATGATATTGTTTTTTGATTAATATGATGTTCTATTTATTTCAGGATTTGATTTTGATTACGTATTTGATTGGACAATCTTAAAGCATCAACAGTCAGAAAAGAATAAACCACATAATCATTCAACTGTTAGTGTTTTCATTACCATTTGTTCTTTACGATTCTAATAGCATTTACTTTTATGAATATTGAATAATTATTTATTGATTTCTACTCTTCTTTTCCCCATTAAAATGTTGTGTTTTTGTTCGTCACAATCTTAGGATCTAATTGACTTATGATTATAACATTTTTATACTAATCCTTGTTTCAGTCACTCATGGAATCTAACAAGGCATTGGCAGAAACAAATAACATGAAATACATGTTTTGGAGCTTGAATTCCAAAGTGTCAATGATTCGATGATGAGTTGGTTCTAAGACATTGTTGCCTGGTGTCGATTTCTTTGTTTTCTGTTCGATTTGGTTAACTTCTATGAAGATGGTAGCTTACATTAGCAGATCTAATAATGATGGTCCTGGATGTTTGACTTTGAGATGCCCAATTCCATCCTGTGGTGCTGCTGTAGATGTGGACATGGTCAATATGAATTGGTAAATTTCCAAACTACCCCTTCACCCTTGTTACATGTTATCTGTCTCTCTGTACATATCTTTCTTGGAGCAAGCCCCGATTAATTTTAATCCATTTAAAATCACAAAAAGTGTCCACTTTGTAAGGACAGGGACCATTTATGTAAAAATTAATAATATAAGTGAGCTGTTGTTTGTGAATATGTGACTCAGCTAAATACGGATTGGTTTCCACCTGCTGATGCATCCTTGAAAAGGGTGGTTATTTAGAGACTGGTGTATGATCTCCTACAACAACCTTATGATGAAGCTGAAGCCTTTTACAAAGTATTTTCCCAAGTAAGTGCAAAAAGATTTCTTTTGGCAAAGTTTCATATCAATTTTGATCCTTGTGTTAACTGTAACACCGTAAATTTCAAAACAAAATTTTTCAATTTTCTTATAAAACATAATTCGATTAATATTCATCAAACAACCATATTAATTATCCAATATAGGTTAATACAAAATCCCAAGATCACAATGTAAAAACTCCGAGTGTGTGTACGGATCAAGCCGGCGCCTTCCCGCGGTCGTCACTAGTACCTGAAACAATAACATCAAACACTGTAAGCACAAGGCTTAGTGAGTTCCCTAAAATATCACATATAACACATATTAGCCACTCGAGGCTATAACTCTGTGGGTCCGTGCACCCAAACTCTGTGAACCCTCAGGTTCTAGCTCTGATAAACATGCACTACATAAATCACATAGAAATAATGCAGTACAACACATAACATACATAGCATACAAATACTCTATCACATAACTCTGGTTACCTACTCAAGGTAATATAGTATAGTGAGAAGACTCACCTCGCGTATCTCGGTATCTCACGAATCCTGGAAATCCCTCGTGCTCGATCCTCCGAGCTCTAATCCTCCTATAACATTATATGTTTCTAATTAACACTTTATATCTCTAAGGTTGACTATCCATAAGAAGTCAACACAGGTCAACTCTGGTCAACGGTCAACGGTCAACTCTGACCGGACTTGGCGAGTACCATGGCGACTCGTCGATTCTAGACGTTTTCACAAACCCTCTGAAATCCCCTTACTACACGTCGAGTATTCCTCCCCCTTTACTCGACGAGTTTCACCTTAATGAATCGCGGGGCCACCCCGACTCAACTCGCCAAGTCTCAAGGACAACTCGGCGAGTCCAAGTTTGACTCAGTCCACTCGTCATCCCTCTCCAACTCACCCTGACTCACTGAGTCTACCCATGACTCGATTGGACCACTCGCAGAGCATTCCCAAGGCAATCTTCAAGCTACTCGCCGAGTCGGATGAACAGACTCGGCGAGTCCATGCCATGCAACAACTCCAACTTGCTTCTAAGGTCATATCTGCTTCCAAAAACTATAGATCTGGCCTCCCTCGACTGATTCATCACGTAAAGCTCCTATCTTGGAGCTCATAACACACCCTATAGCTCATAAATGGAGTTTTTGACCTAAGGCATGAGGATTCCAATCCAAAGCCTCCATTGATTCCCAAAAAGCTTGGGTAAAGGGTCACTCTGGACCTCTAAGGGTCTAGATCTATGGTTCAAACCTCATAAGGGACCAAGAGGACACTAAATCTTGCCATAAAAGGGTTCAACAAACCCTAAATCTAGATAAACAACAACAAAGAAGAAGGTAACTCGGATTTATTACCACAAAAGTGATGTTCTGGACTCCAAACCCACAGAAGTGGTTCCTCTTGCTTTTCCTTGGCTATCTCTTTTCCTTCCTTGCAACAATGGCACCTCCAAGGTCAATAATGGCCTCCTAATTAGCTCCAAATGCTCACACTCGATTAGGGTTTCACTCAAGGGGCTGGTGAGCATAAATGACGGCCATTAGGCCCTTTAAATAAGTCTCAAACCTGAGAAATTAGGGTTTCATTACACAGCGCTGACTCGCCGAGTCCATATCCTGGACTCGTCGAGTCCAGGCGCGATCCCGCGTCCAGATCCGCGTCCCTACTCGGCGAGTCTGAGCTCCAACTCGCCGAGTCCCCCCACAAATCAATAAAATACAATAAACAAGATACCTGATAAAATCCGGCTGTTACAACTCTCCTCCACTAGGACTAGACTTCGCCCTCGAAGTCTCGCTCTAAAAACAGCTCCGGATGCTGCTCCTGCATCATACGCTCTGGCTCCCAGGTCATCTCTGATCCCCAACGGTGTTGCCACTGAACCAACACCAGAGGTACCTCCTTGTTCCTCAAAACCTTGATCTTCCGATCCCCGATGGCGACTGGTCTCTCGGCATAATTCAGGCTTGCATCCACCTGAATATCCTCTAACGGAACCACTGCCGATTCATCGGCTATACACTTCCTCAACTGCGACACATGAAAAGTGTCGTGAATCTGTCCCAACTCTGCTGGCAACTCCAACCGATAGGCTACCCGGCCTACCCTCGCAATTACACGAAATGGACCTATAAACCGGGGCCCCAACTTGCCCCTCTTCCTGAACCGAATCACTCCTTTCCAAGGAGAAACCTTCAGGAGAACGAAGTCGCCGACCTGAAATTCAAGCTCGGACCGGCGCCTGTCCGCATAACTCTTTTGTCGGCTCTGGGCGGTCAATAACCTCTGTCTGACCTGCTGTATCTGCTCTGTCATCTGAATCACGATCTCTGTACTGCCCATCACTCTCTGCCCAACCTCACCCCAACAAATGGGAGTCCGACACCTCCTACCATACAACATCTCAAAGGGCGGCATACCGATGCTCGAATGATGGCTGTTATTGTAGGAAAACTCTGCCAAGGGTAAATGAGTATCCCAGCTACCCCCAAAATCCAATACACATGCTCGAAGCATGTCCTCAAGCATCTGAATCGTCCGCTCACTCTGGCCGTCTGTCTGGGGGTGATATGCGGTACTAAAATGCAGCTTAGTACCCAACTCCTCATGAAATTTCTTCCAGAATCGGGAAGTGAAGCGCACATCACGGTCCGAAACAATCGAGATCGGCACCCCATGCCGAGATACCACTTCTCTCACATAAACCTCCGCCAACTTCTCCGCCGAAGAACTCTCACTGATGGCAAGAAAGTGAGCGCTCTTCGTCAACCTATCCACAATCACCCAAATTGCATCAACTCCTCTGGCAGTCCTCGGCAATTTGGTGATGAAATCCATAGTGATCTGTTCCCACTTCCACTCGGGAACCTCCAATGGCTGCAACTTGCCATGCGGTCTCTGGTGCTCGGCCTTCACCCTTCGACAGGTCAAACACCTCTCGACAAACCATGCGACGTCCCTCTTCATACAAGGCCACCAATACTCTTTCCTCAAATCCAAATACATTTTTGTAGCCCCGGGATGGATTGAAAATTTCGATCTATGAGCTTCCTCCATCAATGTAGTATGCGTACCGCCCACAAATGGTACCCAAATCCGACCCTGAAAAGTCATAAGCCCTCGACTATCCGACACAAACTCAGAAACCAAACCAATGACCCATTCTCTCTTCTGCATCTCCGGATGCACAACCTTGGCCTGTGCCCCACGAATGGCGTCCAGAACTGGAGCTATCACGGTCAATCTCAAACATACATTTCGCAGTGGAGTACTCTCCGCCCTGCGACTCAATGCGTCGGCAACCACATTAGCCTTGCCCGGGTGATACAAGATCTCACAATCATAATCCTTGACCTCATCTAACCACCTCCTCTGCCGCATATTTAGGTTAGGCTGATCCATCAAGTACTTCAAACTCTTATGGTCCGTGTATATTGTACAACGAACCCCATACAAGTAGTGTCGCCAAATCTTTAGAGCGAACACCACTGCCCCCAACTCTAAATCATGTGTGAGATATCTCGTCTCATGAGGCTTCAACTGCCTCGATGCATATGCTATCACATGTTCCTTCTGCATCAGCACCGCTGCCAGCCCTAAAATCGATGCATCACAGAATACCACGAAATCTTCCATCCCTTCAGGAAGAGCTAATACCGGAGCTTCGCACAACCTTTGGCGAAGAGTCTCAAAGGAGGTCTGCTGCTCAGGACCCCATAAAAATGTAACACCCTTCCGGGTCAATCTGGTGAGTGGCACTGCGATCTTGGAGAAATCCTTGATAAACCTCCGATAGTACCCTGCCAACCCAAGGAAGCTCCTGATCTCAGAGGGTGACTTTGGCACCTCCCATCTCATCACCGCGTCAACCTTGGCCGGATCGACCAATATCCCTTTCTGATTAACGAGGTGCCCCAGAAACTGGACCTCCCGCAACCAGAAATCGCACTTGGAAAACTTTGCATAAAGTTTCTCCGATCTCAAAACTCCAAGAACTTCCCTCAAATACTCCTCATGCTGCTCTCTAGATCTCGAATATACCAGAATATCATCGATAAAGACAATCACCGACCGATCCAACATCGGCCTGCATACCCTGTTCATGAGGTCCATGAACACAGCCGGGGCATTGGTGAGCCCAAAAGGCATCACCACAAACTCATAATGCCCATAACGCGTCCTGAATGATGTCTTCTAGACGTCCTCGTCCCGCACTCTCACCTGATGATAGCCCGACCTCAAATCGATCTTGGAGAACCAAGATGCTCCCTGTAACTGATCGAATAAATCGTCGATCCTCGGCAACGGGTAACGGTTCTTGATCGTCAACTTATTCAATTCTCGGTAATCAATACACATTCGATGCGAACCGTCCTTCTTCTTTACAAACAGAATGGGTGCTCCCCACGGCGAGCTACTCGGCCGAATAAACCCCTTCCCCAGCAGCTCCTGAAGCTGCGAGGATAACTCTTGCATCTTTGGAGGTGTAAGACGATAAGGCACCTTAGCGATAGGCGCGGCTCCCGGAACCAAATCGATACTTAACTCCACTTGCCTCACGGGAGGCACACCCGGTAATTCTTCGGGAAAAACATCTGGAAACTCACGCACCACCGAAACTTCATCCACTGAACTCGGTCTCTCGAAGATCACTCGCGTATCCATCACATACGCC